TTGCGAGGATGTCTCAGGCGAAACGCGCTGGACCACCTCTCGCGCGGCGTCCTGGAGCCCAGAGAGCGACGATGTCTCAAGCGAAACGCGCCAGACCACCTTGCGCGCGACATCTCGGAGCCCAGCGTTGTGAGAGTGTCTGAAGCGAAACGCGCCGGACCACGCGTGCAGCATGCCAGAGCCCACAGTTGCGAGGATGTCCCAGGCGGAACGGGCTGGACCACCCAGCGCGGCATCTCACACGTTAGAATTGCAAGCATGTCTGCGGCGAAAAGGGCTGGACCACCCCGCGCGTGGCATCTCAAAGCCAAGAATTGCGAGGATCTCTCGGACGAAACGCACCTGACGTCCTCGCTCGCGGCATCTCGGAGCCTAGAGTAGCGAGGACGTCTCAGGCGAAGCGCGCCGGACCACCTCTCGCGCAACATCTCGGAGCCAAGGGTTGCAAGGATGCCTCAGGCGAAACGCGCTGGACCACCTCTCGGTGAATCTCGGGGCTAAGTATCGCTCGGACGTCTCAGGCGCAACGCGCTGAACCACCTCTCGCGCGGCATCATCTCGGAGCTCCGATGTTCGAGAAGGTCTCAGACGAAGCTCCCGATCCCGGCAGACTCAAGCGAAGCGGCCCAGACCACACCATGTTTGAGAGGACGTCTGTGCTCTGGCGTCCCTCGGCTGGATCTAGCGTTTACAGCAGCACCTCGTTCAGCAAGCTGCTTGGGGAAACGTGTGTGTTCGGGGGAGGGGGGGAATAATCTGCTGGGCGCATGCGGCACTGTGCGCACGCCGTCTATACAAATTATGACGGACGCCAGACGTTTCTTGCACCGAAAAGGTCCAGGAGTTCCGGCCGAGCGTTTAAGCCTCCTTGGTCTGGACGAGGGTGCAGGCTGTGCTGTCTTTGCCGTCTTCGTGCAGGCGTGGAGCTCAAAAGAATGTTACTCATAGCATCTCGTGTTTGTTGTTCTTCCGGGAGGTTCATGCAGAGAGTGAACGGTAATTACCTTCGCGCTGGTTCTCGTGCGCGTCCATGCAACCTGCTACTCTGAACACGTGGCGAACTCAGACTCGCTGCAGAGCGGCTCCCCAGTCTGCGCAGGTGCACTTCTTCGTGGCACTCGTTACCCCTTTGAGCATGTCGAGTCAACGTCGCGAGCAGGAAGCCTGACCTCCCAGCAGGTTGCCCGTGGAAGCTGCCGAGCATCTTGACATTTTCAGACGCCCGCCTCGGCTTGAGGAGGTGCCCCTGGCTTTCCCGTCGGTCGAGCCCTTCCCCTTGGCACGTGGTCGGGTTCGCGAGAGGGCGTCGCGGCCGTCATTTTTGCGGGTCCGGGTCCGTCGGTTTCGGTCCCAGGTCGTTTTCACTAAGGGGAGGTTTACTAAAGGGAGGTTTGTCCACCGCCGATTGTCGTCGGCGAGCGGGGGGGGGAAGGGGAGAAGGAGAGTCGGCGTCACCCCTGACATACTTATACTACATGTGCGTCGCCCCCCCCCAGGGGCGACGCGCGCACCGAGGAGTCTCATAGTATATGCGTCGCGGCGGGCGCTTTCTGGCCATACCGCTCGGGAAACGATCTACTACACGATGGGTGTTCTATGTGTTCGGGTCGGACGCGTGCCTCCAAGGAGGACATCTAGCATTAGTATGTCTTTGTGCGTCCCAGAGAAGGGCCCTCCCAGGAGACGGCGGGGCTTCTCAGAAGCTCTCCAGCCTTCTGACAAGCGGCTCGTGTCTTCGGAGAAGGCTAAGAAATTTCCCAGAAGGTTGGAGGACCTTCGAGCTTTCTGAGAAGGCCCGCCCCCTCTCACTTCCACCCCCAGGCGCCGCGCAGTTTTTCAAAGGCGGGCCCCCCAGAAGTCCAGATCCGTTCCCTAGGGCAGGTCTTTCATGCCGAGTCCTGCCCTGACCTTGCAGGAGGGCAGAAAATAGCACCAGGACCTCGACGTCCAAACTTCTGTCGAGGTCTCAGGCAGCCCAGCTAGGTCTGTAGGTCTGGAGGGCTATCTGCAGCACTCTGGAAGGTCAAGGTGGGGGTCCGCTCCGTCTTCGGGCTCCTGGCGCCCTCTTTTGCAGGCCTCCCCAGGCCCTTGGGCCGGCAAGCGACGGCTCGGGACGGCGAGCTGGCCCCGGGGAGTGCCCCAGGGCTCCCGGGTTCCGTTGCCACCGAGGGCACATGTGCGTCGCCCCCTTCCCCCAGGGGCGACGCGCGCGCCGAGGAGTCTTAGAGTGTATGCGTCGTGGCGGGCGCTTTCTGGCCACGCCGCTCGGGAAGCGATCTACTGCAAGATGGGTATACTATGTGTGTTCGGGTCGGGCGCGCGCCCCCGAGGGGGACACATAGTATTAGCATGTCTCTGTTTTGTTTCCCACGAGTCTCGCCCAGGTGGCGTTCTGGCCAGAGTCTCGGGGCGAGGCTTACCAGCCTGGAACAGATCCCTACCCCTATGCTGGGCACCTCCTCATCACGATGCCAATCTTAGGGATTCCCTTTTATCTTTCGAGGGCGAACCCCCAGGGAATCTTGGGGAATCTTGGGGAATCTTAGGGATTGTCATCGCCTTTTGGCGTGTCAATCGTCGGGATAGGGATACGTTCGGGGCGGGTAGGAAGCCGGGCCGTGTCGCCGAGAGGGGCGGGCAGCGGCACCCAGCGGTCTCTCCAGAGAGCACCCGTCTCTTCGGGATGCCCGCGCGCGGGCTCCGCGGCGCGCGCCGGGGGGGCGGCGCCAGCGACGCCGCCAGGGGTCTGCACGAACGAGATGAGCACGGAAAGAATTGGTGCCATGCCCAACAGTAGTTCTCGTTCATTCTGAACAGGACTCGCTGTCCGCGCCGCCGCGGCCTGTGTACATGCGAGACAGAAGGCCGCCCGCCCAACAGCGGCCGGTGTTGGTGTGGGACAACATTTGTTGTTGGGCATCGAGCCCATTTTTTCCGTACCCATGTCGGGCGTCCAAAGCCAGGGGGGCCGCAGCGCCGATCCAAGGAGCCCGCGCGGAGCCCCCAGCGTTCAGCTTTCTGAGTGCGTTCGTCCTCTCATTGCAGTGCCGTCTTTTAGTGCATGCTCCGCGAGCGGATCATGCATTAAACATGCAGGGAACTCAGTATCAAAAACATAAGGAGTTCATGCATACATTTATTCACACACTGGCCATGTATTAGACATCCTACTGTTTTGATCCGATGTATTCAGAACTGCCCTGTATTGTGTTTTTGGGTGCTCCTTCGTTCCTCTCCTTCCTCCTCGACGAATTGCCGGTTTCGCTTCCTCCGAGGGCCCGGCGCGCGCGCGGCCGGCGCGCGCGCGGCGGCCGCCCAGCGGTCGGGCAGCCCGGGCGATGGCCGCCCGCCGGCCCGCGGAGCGCCTCTCGCCGAGGTGGGCTGCGCCGTCGGAGGGGCGCCTGGCAGCGGCGGAGCGTCCCGTCGGCACGAGCGGAGTGGGTACGGAAAGAATGGGTACAAGGCTCAAGAGCAGTTCCTGTTCATTCTGAACAGGACTCGCCGTCGGTGTCGCCGCGGCCTGTGTCCATTTGAGGCAGGAGGCCGCCCGCCCAGCAGCGGCCGCGGTGGGTTTGGGACAGCATTTGTTGTTGGGCACTGTACCAATTTTTTCCGTACCCACTTCGGGCGTCCAAATCCTGGCTCGCCAACAGCGCCCTACCAGACAGTGTTCTAAGAACCTTTGTGTGGTTTTTTCACGAAGTATTCTCAGAACATTTTGGCGGAGCCTGTCTTGTCTTATCACATCGGGCTTCTGTTCTGAGAGCAGTGTCTTTGTTCTTGGAACATTTCTGGGTTCGAAGAACATGTCGTGGTAGGGCTATAGGAATGCCCGGACGGTCGGTCCCTGCTCAAGTGACCCTTTGCCGGAGTGGCTTCGAGTGCGGGCTCAGGGGCAACGATAGGGGGGACAGGCATAGGGGGGGGGTGCATCGACACCCAGCCGCCCATGAATCGCCGATGAGGGCCCGATAGCCCCAACTTGCCCAGGAAAGTGCAGATTCACTCTCGGGGGCTTATCGCCGATCTATCGACGATGTATCGCCGATTCTAGGTCGATGCATCCCCCCTATGCCAGTCCCTCTCTATCGTTGGCCCTCACAGGCTCACTGGGGCTTCCCGATGGCTGAATGCAGTGCGACGGCAGCGACGCGCGCGCTTGGGTTTGGCTCTCTCGCGCCCCCCCAAAGATGCGCACCAAAGGTTGCTCTTGCCACAGACACCCACCGCCATGTCTTTTTTTTCCCTCATCGCCCCCCAGCGATCTCGACCCATTCCCGCGGACGGGTCTCGCATCCCGAGTCGTGACGGCCCCTGGAGGCACAATAATCAGGAGGAGAAAAAACACACAGACACAATTAATCGTCGGTTCCCCAGAAAATATGGGAAGATATGGGAAGTGGGGGGGAAGACAAAAACCCAGAAAATATGGGAAAATATTGGGAATATTTTTATTTGTGTGTATTTATTTGTGTGTACTGGGGCCCCTTCAAAGAACCCAGGACGAACCTCCGTCTCGTTTTGCCCAAAGCGTCCCAGACGTGCGACGCTTTGACTTCTCAATACGGGATCCCTGGACGTCCCGACCCCTTCCCCAGGACCGGTTTTTCCTCCCGAGACGCTTCTTCACGGCTCCGAGGCCCGGCGGGGGCCCCCTGGGGCCGAAGTTGGCCAAAACTCGGGGGCGGAAAAGAGGGGGGTGATGACTAGGGGGGGTGGATATCATGGCGGGGTCATGATATTTCCCCAGATTTCATGGCGCCTCTTCGAATTCCATTATGTCCCTGGCCCCCCCGTTGGGCCGCGCACATGCCGCTGGTCATGATTTGCACCCCCCCCTCTTGGACACCCCCCTCTTTGCCGCTCCCGAAAAACCTTCCCGTCCTGACTTTCTTCACGACGCGATCGTGTCTGGGGTTGCACCTCAGGGCGCCAGAGGCCCACTCCTGCGTGCAGCCGCCGAGGGCGGCGCGGCCTCGCGCCCCGCTGCGCAGGGCCGGCGTGGAGGCGGCCGGCGCGCTCCTGGGCCTCTCGGTCTGCCGCTGGCCGGGCGCGGCGGCGGCGCGCTTCGCCGCCGCCCGGGCCCAGCGGCCGGCATGGGGCTGGCTGGCAGGCCTCGGGAGCCTTGAGACGGGGGTCAGTGCAAACGGGGGTCAGCCAGGGCGCCGGATCCTGCAGGATCCTGCGAAGGCCCCCTCTGGCTGACCCGGGTCAGCGAGCCGCTCGTGGCCGCGAGGCGGCCGCGCCTATTGGCTGACCCGGGTTTGCGAAGACCTGCGTTGCAGTTTTTTTTTTTTTTTTTTTTTCCTGCATTGCAGTTTTTGGTTTCCTGCTGACCCGGGTCTGGATTGGTCCGGGTCAGAAGACCCCCGCAGGCCTCGGAGGCGCCACGAACTCAGATCCAGCGCGACGAACAGCAGCACTCAGGTGTTTCGTACTTTCCGGCCTCTGAGGGGCCCTCGCCGAGCCCCAGGGCCGTCAAAGAACGATTGAGAGTATGAAAAATCGCTCCCGGGGAAGGGGTCGAGACTTCGGGGGACCCCGCGTGGAGCAGATCACGGCGTCGGCTCTCTGGGAAGCCAGCGGTCGCATCGCAAAGAACGGCCTGAGCATGATTTCTTGGAGGTCCGCGCGGTTTCTGGGATTCACCACCTACCAAACCACCCCAACCCACCCCGAAGGCCTCCATCTGCCCTCCATTTTCAGTGGGGGGGAGGTCGGGGAACATCGAACAAACACGTCTGGAACCCATACCCCCCCCAACCCGAAATCTGGGTCTTCGGGTTGGGTTTGGGGGTGCCTGGTAGGTAGCCAGGGAGGGGCACCTGGGCCCCCTCCTAAAGGCGCCTCCGGCGCCGCCCCCGGCGCGCTTCGCGCGCGCCAGGGATGGGGGGGCTCCAGCGCCGACCCCCAGGAATCCGCGCGGACACCCGAGAGATTATGGTTCTCTGCCGTTCTTGGCTCCTCTAAACGGGCCCTGCCCCAATATCCAACGCTTCGAGAACGAAAAGCAAGGCGTGTTTTTTCTTTACACCCAAGAGATCATGTTTCTGCCGTTCTCTGCTCCTCTACACGGGCCCTGCCCCCATATCCAACGTCTCGAGGACACAACGCAAGGCGTGCTTTTTTCTTCACCTCTTGCGGCCTCAAGAGGCCCTCGGCTGGCCCCGAGGCCGTCAAGGGAGAGTGGTGGGGCGTCCATCCTGTCCTTACTTCACTCCCAAAGTGCTGTTACTCTGCATATGCAGTTTGCTCTGCGCATCGGCATTGTGCCCCTGGCAGTTGGGCTTCTACAGCAAGCGGCTACACCGGATTGATTTTGCCAACCTGTTCGCACTCAGTGTTATTTCATGTGTAGCTTGTGCTTGAAGATTGCCGCGCGCCGCAAAACAAAGATCCAACGCTTCGAGAACAAAAAAGCGAGGCGTGCTTTCCTCACACCTTGCGGCCTCGAGCGGCCCTCGGCTGGCCCCGAGGCCGTCAGGGCACGGCTCGGGGCGAGAAGCGGGCCCCCGGGGGGCTGGGCGGGGACCGCGCACGGGAAGAAGCACGAGGCATCGGACATCCGGGCCCTCGGAGCTGGGCGTTGCGCGTTTGCTTTCACCATCCTGTGGTGTCGGGCCCCAGTTTTGAAGAGAGGGTCCCCGCGCCTCCTTCCTTCCTTCCTTCCTTCCTTCCTTCCTTCCCTCCTTCCTTCCTTCCTTCCTTCCTTCCTTCCTTCCTTCCTTCCTTCCTTCCTTCCCTCCTTCCTCCTCCCTCCTCCCATCCCTGCCCCTGTCCTCCGCATGTCAACCTTCTCGGCGCACCCCTCGCACGCTCGGTGGCCCCACAGGAAGTTCGACTGAAGGCCCCAATGGCAGGGCCCACATGCGGTTCCCCGCCCAGTTGGGCACTCGCCTCGTGGCCCCATGGAACCTGGACTCCATGCGGTTCCTCGCCCAAGGCGACACACCACTCACACGTTTCGCGGCCCGATCGGGAGCTCCACCGAAGGCCCCAGCGGCAGGGTCCACATGCGGTTCCCCGCCTATTTGGGCACACCTCTCACACGTTTTAGAGGGAGCTCCATCGAAGGCCCCAGTGGCAGGGTCCACATGCTGTGCCCACAACGCGGCACTCACAACTGCATCTGGTTGGGTCCTCCGCCAGGCACTTTTTTTCGCTTGGTGGTTTCGCCCAGTTTTGGGCCCTGGGACCTTTCCAGATCGATCCGGGACCAGGGCTCTGATCGTGATTGTTCACGATGTTTTTTTCGGTACGTCGGGTCTCAGGACAGGGAAACAGGTCTTGAGGTCATGCTCAGTTTTTGATCTCCCAGGGCCGTCCCAGGCCCCGGGGTTGTCAGGAAACGACTCAGGACGAAGAAGTGGTCCTGAGTCGATCTCTCTTTGGAAAGAAGAAAGTCGAGCCTTCTTTTTGCATACCTCCTTGACGACAAACCTTATTGCTGATGTGTTTTCGCAAGATCATTCGGCAATGTGTCTCCAACCGCGGGTAGAATGTTACATTGACCCAGTGCCTGCAGCTGTTTGGCTCTGGGGTTCCGCCTTTGAACCCCCGCCCCCGCCCCGATCCAACAAGTGAGAGAGGAAAAACACATCCATCGTTATTGCCCGTACTTGCCTGAATAGCTGGTCCTGGGGGAGCCGGTTTCTTCAGGACGGGGGGTGCAGGACAGATTTTCTTCAGGACCTGGGTTCAGGACCCAGGGTCCAGTCCAGGATAAACGGATCCTGAGTACTTCCCCTGGGGTCCAGGACTGCTTTCCATCAGGACTCGTTCCCTTCATGCCAAGAGAGGAGGATGCGATACCGATACCGCTGCCCTTCCCTCGCCGCCACTGCTGGATTCGCCTTGAAATCCTGGCCAGACATGCTCACGACGGAAGTTTCTGCTCTTTTCGACATTTGGGGGCCCTCGCCGGGCCCCGGGACCGTCCAAAGCTGCCTCGGGATGAACATGCGGCCCTGGGAGGCAGCTCGGGACTTTCGGGGATCCCGTAGGAATCCAGACATCGCATGTCTAGGTTTGTGGAAGTCGATTACTGGAGAGGAAGCATGCTGCCAGACAGTCTCCAGTTGTCTAGAAGATGTCTCAAGCATGTCTCGAACAGGTTTTGAGCATGTTTGAAACATGTTTAGAACCTTCTTCCTACAGTTTAAGCACATTTGAAAGTCAATGCTAGGACTGTTAGGGTGTCCATTGTCGGGGGCGGCAAAGGGGGGGGTGATGACTAGGGGGGGTGGATGTCATGGCGGGGGCCATGAGTTTTCCCCAGCTCTCGTGGCGCCTCTTCTCATTTCATTACGTCCCTGGCCCCCCCGCTGGGCCGCGCACGTGCCGCCGGTCATGATTTGCACCCCCCCCCTCTTGGACACCCCCTCTTGGCCGCTCCCCATGTTAGGGTATCCACTGTCGTGGCATCCACAAGTCTAGGTGTGCCCAAGCATGTCTTAAGCATGTTTGGAGCATGTTACAAACATGTTCAGGACATTCTTCCTACAGTTTAAGCACATTTAAAAGTCAATGCTACAACCCTCGTCAAAAAAAACTGATGGATTCTGTTTTCGGTGATTGTATGGTCAGCGCTACTCCAATGCTGACGCTAGATATCTGACGTGGGCGCAAGGGCTTCAAAAATCCGACGACCCCGCCGCAGCATTGAAGAACGCAGTTTCTAACAAGTGCCCGAGAAGATCGACCGTCGTGATTTCCAACTTCGTTTCTGTTTATTTTTGACGAGGCTTGTAGGACTGTTAGGGTGTCCATTGTCGTGGCATCCACAGGTCTGGGTGTGCTCGTGTGCCTCGCCGCCACGGCCGGGCTCTCTCGCCTCGAGAGGCCCCGGCCCGAGCGCGCCTCCCCGGGAGCGGTCCCGTGCCGCGGCGGTCCCAGACCCCCTCGAGTCATGAAAAAATCACGACGAGAGGTTTTTCGCTATTTTCGGCCTCTGGGGGCCCTTACCGGCCCTCAGGACCGTCAAAAAACGACTCAGGATGAAAAGCCGGTCCTGGGGAATGGGTCTGGACCTCTGGGGGCCGCGTCATGAAAAAATCATGACGTCGGGGGTCTGGGGTGGCGGTGCGCGCTCTTGCTTGAAGTCGGGCGTGCCCCCCTACAGGGGGGCTGTCGACGAAAAATAGGAAAAATACCCCAGAAATAGTCAAAGCATAGTCAAAACATAGCCTGGGGACCATTTTTTGAAGATTTTTTGACCATTTGGGCGTATTGTTTGAACATGTCGACGAAACATAATCAATACACCAGAAATAGTAAAAACATAGTCCAAATATAGTCTGGGGACAATGTTTTAGTATTTGTTGGTCATTTGGGAGTATTTTTGGAGTATTTGTTATGTTTCGTTGAAAGTCCCCCTGTAGGGGGACACGCCCGACTTAAAACTCTTGCTTCTCCGAGGCCACCTGGCGCCGCGGCAGGGGGCCGCCTGGGGCCAGAAGGCCAGCGTGCGCGCTGCGGGGGCCGAGCCGGTCCCGAACATGCTGAACCTGGACGAGGAGACCCTCGCCCTGCACCAGAGGTACCACGAGAAGACCATCGAGTACATCGCGCAGAACCTGGAGTGGGTGGAGAGCAAGGCGTACGAGATGGACAGCGGCCTCACGGAGCGTGAGCAGGCACTCATCGACGAGGGCGCCTCCGCCCGCCTGCGGCGCTGGCCCCGGCTGCACGAGGTCGACCAGCACAGGGTCCGGTTTGGCTCCGGGGAGAGGCAGGCGTTCTGCACCGGAGGCGACGGGGCCGCCCTGGGCGACCCCGCCGACAACGTCTTCGTGGTCAGCCTGCCCCGGCGGCCCACCCGCCTGCGCCGGGCTCTGGACCAGCTGTGGGCCGCCGGCATGCACGCGACGGTGGTGGACGCGGTGGACGGCGACGCCATCAGGAGCCAGCAGGACGTGGCCCATCGAGGGACAAGCAGCGGCAGGAGCATGCGATAGGGGGCGTGCGTTCGGGAGTGTGCCCAGGAGGCTCCAGACCCTGGAGGGTCCCTTGTCTGATGAGGTCGGCGGTGATATCCGCGGCCAAGCCTTGATTTGTGATCCACTGGCTTCCAGGCCCTGGATTCTTGATCCAAGCGTTCCTAATCCAGTGCCCTCATCGTAAGCTTCCGGAGGTCCGAACGGACTTCCTGGATTGGCGCTGGACCTCCCTGGTGGCGCTTCCGGCGCCGCGCGCCAGGGAGGGGGGGGCCAGCGCCGCCCCAGAAAACCCGCGCGGATCTCCGACAGCTTCTGTTTGGGCAGCTGTTTGTTCCTCCAACCCAGCTTGGCGTGCGCCCTCTTCCAGGCTACGATTCCGGGCACGTCAACCACGACATGCCGCTGACCACGGGGGAGGTGGGCTGCTTCATGAGCCACTTCTCCGTGTGGCACACCATGGTGGAGCAGGGCATCCCCTCCGCGCTCATCCTGGAGGACGACTTCGACCTCCAGGAGGACTTCGCGCGTCGGCTGGGCTGCTGCCTGGAGGAGGCCCGAGGGGAGGACTGGAACCTCTTCTTCCTCGGCCGCAGCCCCGTCGAGGCCGACGTGCGGCGGGTCTCGGGCAGCGTCGTCCAGCCCGGGTATGCCCTCTGGACGGTGGGCTACCTCCTGCGCCTGGACGGGGCACGCGCGCTGCTGGACGCGCAGGTGCAGCGCTGCGTCGCGCCGCTGGACGACTTCTTCTCCGTCGCCATGGGGCGCGGCGCGGACGGGTGGTGCCCCGCGATCCGGTTCTGCGAGCCAGCCGCAACGTCGCAACGAGATCACGAGCGTAGCCCTAGACTTACGTCGGGCCTGTCCCTCTGTCCCTCTACAGGGGGAATAGTCAAAAAGAGTCAAAAAATAGCCTGGGGACTATTTTTGGAGCATCTTTGACAGTTTTGGAATATGTTTGGAATATTTCTATTTTTCGTCGAAAATTCCCCTGTAGGGGGACACGCCCGACTTAACCCTCGACCCCAGACCCCATGTGTCTGCCGCACTTCTCGCGCTGGCTCGATCTGCGACGGCCCTGAGGCCCAGAACGCTGGGCGACAACGCGTGGCGTTAAAGATGCAACGCCCCGATCTCAAGGCTCGAGTCGGAGATCGACTACACCATTGAATTACCCCCAGATTCGGTAGAGGGAAACAATTACTGAACACTCCCCCTCCCCCCCAAACGCAATGTTGGCACGCGCGGGGGAGACTGCGGTCGAAGTGCATCTCATCAGACACACCGCCAACTTTGAACATTGGGGGGAAGGGGGAGGCGTTGACGGATGAGTGTGGCATGTGTTCGCTAATTTGTTCCGAGGCCTGGATCTCCAGGTTCGAGTCGGAGATCGACTAGATCATTGAATTACCCCCCACTTGTAGTGCTCGTCGGATCAGCGAAGCATTACGTAGAATATGCGGAGGTCTGCGAACACAACTCTGCGTACTGCTTCGCCGATATTCCACGAGCAGTGCTGTAGTCGTCGACCTCCCTTGCACGAAAGGTACAACGACAGGGCGCCGGAGTGGCGACGGCACGTCCCGGTGGTGCTCCGGGCGCTGGCGTCGTCGCCGCCGCTGCTGATGCCCTACGCGGGCTCCCTGATACGAGAGGGCTGCCGCCACGGAGCGCCGCCGTCCTGCCTGGGAGGCGGGCCTCGTCGATGGGGGGGCGGGCCCCGCCCTTCCGGGAGGGCGAAGGAGTGGCACGAGGTCCTCGACGTCCAGATCCCCGTCGGGGTGCTCTAGGCAGGCCGGATAGGCTCATAGGTCTGGAGGGCTATTTTGCAGCTTTCGGGAAGGTCAGGGAGGGAGGGGAGGGGAGGGAGGGAGGGGAGGGGAGGGGGGAGGGAGGGAGGGAGGGAGGGAGGGGAGGGGAGAGGGAGGAGGGAGGCAAGTTAGGTGCGCTCGCGTCAACATCTGACATCCTACCCCTCCCTCCCATCCCTTACCATGGCGCTGATTTTCTCTATCCGCGGACGCGTGTCGTAGCGGACCTGTGGCTCCGCGCGCGTGTGCGTAGTGGGTGGTGGTGCGCGTGCGTGCGTGCGTGTGTGCGTGGTTGTGGTTGTGTTGTGGGTGGTGTGTGTGTGTGTGTGTGCGTGTGTGCGCGTGTGCTGTGGTGTGACGTGGTGTGGCGTCTTGGTGGTTTGGTGGTGGGCCAGGTGCGTACGTGCGTGATGGCGGTGGTGGTGGTGGCGGTGGTGGTGTGTGTATGTGTGTGTGTGTGTGTGTGTGTGTGCGTGTGTGTGTGTGCGTGTGCGTGTGCGTGCGTGCGTGCGTGCGTGCGTGCGTGTGTGTCTGTGTGTGCGCGCGTGTGATGTGGTGTGACGCGGTGTAGCGTGGTGGTGGTGGGTGGGGTAGTGCGGTGGTGGTGGCGGTGCGCGGTGGTGGTGCGCGTGCGTGCGTGCGTGCGTTGGTGGGTGGAAGTGGCGGTGGGTGTGCGTGCGGCGGGGCGGGGCGTGGTGCGGCGCGGTGGTGGCGGGCGGATGGGCGCGCGAGAAAGAGGCCCGCGCTGGGGCGAGAACGCCATCCTGAACGACGGAGGCAAAACACCGATCCGAAAATGAGGCCCACGCTGCAGCGGGAGCACGATTCGGAACGATTCGGGAGCAGAAATGAGGCCGGCGCCTCAGCGAGAGCAGCATTTTGAAAAAAAAGCAGGCGAAAACCCAACTCCCGGGAATCCTGTGTGTAAAAAACAGTACGCGGGGGGGGGGGGTCGAATATTCCCAGGACGCCATCAGGGGAAGAGGGAGAGTAGTATTCATATTGAGTAATTAGGGGAAGGGAGGGGAGGGGAGGGAGGGAGGGGAGGGAGGGGAGGGAGGGAGGAGGGAGGGGAGGGAGGGGAGGGAGGGGAGGGAGGGGAGGGGAGGGAGGGAGGGGTGTTTCGTTGGGCCGGGTCTGCGGAGGGGCCTCCCCGAGAGCTGGGCGTCGCCACCGCCCCGCGCCGCGAGCCTCTGCTCCCGGCGTCGGGCCCCGGGTCCATCACATATATGATTCTGCTGCGGGCATTGCCGCAGCACGACCGCACACGGACATTGCATTCGAACCCTGTGGCCCAAGATGCCCCCCCAGACCCCCCGAAATTGATGCTGATGGCGTGGCGACGGGGGGGGCGTGAGTGGACAGAAGTGTTCGAACCCCAAAGCACCGCCTGTACTGAGATCAACATTGATGTCGGGGGCGCGGGGGTGATTTGGAATCTCCCTCGAATGCGTAAGGGTTCGAATGTATTGTCCATCTACTGGAGGGGTTCTGGGGCTCCCGTCGTGACTTACCGCGGTGCTGCAATGTTCTCGCGACGTCGGATCTCAGGGCTCGCGCGGCCGCTCCTCTGGTCCGTCTCTCTTGCTGACAGCTGCACAGAGGAGTACTACTCTCCTCCTCCCATTCGACTCTGTACGGAAGATGTTCGGCCCGCTCCGCGAATTCCCTCATGTTTTCCGTCCCAAAAAATCTGATGGTTCCGGTTTTTCAATGTTGTGTTTTGCGCTACAGCGTGGGCCTAATTCATTGTCGGATCTGCGATGTGCTTCCGTCATTCAGAATTGCGCTGTCGCCCCAGCTCGGGCCACTTTTCTGGATCCGAGGCCTTTTTTCCCCTTGCCGCCCCTTCATTTCCCCACATCCGCCTTCTCCTTGTCCTCCTGCTCCTTCCACTCCTTCCACTCCAGTTCCTGCCTCGAGGGATGCCTGTGGACCCCCCCTCGACGGTGCCCCCGTTAGCAGGATCTTCTCGAGGAAGTTCTGCGGATGGTGCCGAGTTGGCAGGCCCTTTCTCGAGATGATCAGGACTCACGGGTTTCAGCGCCTGGGGGGGAAAGGCGAGTCTGGCGAGCATCTCTCTGGGCCGCGCACCGTGAGCTCTCTCAGCCGCAGCTGTGCTCCTCTCCACTGCCCTGCTCGGTCGTTCTCGCACCCGTACTTCGACCGCTCGTGCTGCCATGCGCGTCCCTCAGGGCCTCGAGCGAATGTCACCGGTCCTCGGACGAGGAGGACGGCGGAAGGAGGAGGATGAAGGAGGAGGAGGATGACTAAGGAGGAGGAGGAGGAGGAGGAGGAGGAGGAGGAGGAGGAGGAGGAGGTGGATCAGGACGCGGAGGAGGAGGACGCGGAGGAGGAGGATGAGGAGGAGGAGGAAGAGGAGCAGGAGGAGGCATAGGAGGAGAAGGAGGAGAATGTCCGTAGTCATTTTGGTTCAAGTTGCCATTTATCGAGGCAGCTGAGCAGGTCAGCACGTTTTGGCTGGTGGGTAGGCAGGCGGCTTTGCCTCGCCCATCTCGCCCATTTTCTCACCACGACCCTCACGGGAGCTTCAATGCGCAGTGAGTTCCATTCTTCTCTGGCCTTTCTGCCGGGTGCAGTCTACCAGCGTACACAGGCGCAGTAATGGCCAATGGAGAGCACCAGTTATCCCCGACGGCGGTGGACGCATCGGGGACAATGCCCGCTTTCGCCGCGCAGGCGACCACCCAATGACAACACCGACGTGCTGGAGGTGCCCCGAAGTGGCCGTTTCATGCCGGCGGTAGTGACGATGATTTCGACCTTGTGGGTGCTGACGCAAGTGACATCAAAGCACACGCGGACACCACCATAGACACATTCGTGGCAGCCATCGGGCAGGCTAAGGAAGTCATGGCATCCACCTTCTCCAAACCTATCGGGAACGTTCAGTACGTCATGGAAGCCCCTTGGCGAACAGGTGGAGAGGCACATCGCCAGTGTCGAGTCCCGAATTATAGCACATGATGAGAATTTTTCAACGAAGTGGACGGCAACATTGCAGAAGTGCAGCGGCTGGTGGGAATTCTCAGATCGGAAGAGCCACAACCGCCTTCGATCGCAAACCAGATGGTGCCATACGGGTAGCACGAGCTCGCTCGTTGTGCACGATGAACGTATTCAAACCCTCTCGCGCTCCGATCTTGCAGACAAGCAGCATGGACATGTCAGAGGTGGCCTTCGAAGGAAAGCCTGCCGCAAATCGCGTTCAAGTGCGAGTCAAAGGTGCCTCGCAGTATGCGTAGAGGAAGGTTGCACAGCTTCTTGGTTCGCAGAGGCTGGCTAACAATCAGTGGGCTCGGCACACCGTGGTCGACACTTCGGGGGCCGCCGCGGAGCTACACATCGATGTTGACAGGTCCGTGTGCCAGATCAAGAAGGAGCAGCTGGTCAAAGGTATCCGCAAGGCGCGTGCTGACTCTTACCCCACAAAGAGGTTCTTTGGCGAGAAGACCAAAGGCTGCGTGTGCGTGGGCTGGACGCCCATTGTCACGATTATCCCGAATCCTGGAGATGCTCCGTCTACGGTCCAGTGTGCGCAGGCCAGCTTGGTCGAGGACGGCATCGACAGGCAGACGATCCAACAGAGCATCGCGAACCTCGTGGCAGGGCCTGAGTTCGGTTGCGGCTACACCCTCGGATCGCTCCGTCTAGAAACCCGACCACTGGGGAGGAAGAGGGTTCAACATTTTCCCGGAACTGTGCATTTACAGCTTGTTATTCCCAATTATACACTTTGCTTCGTACTGTGTAGAAGCACCGTCCGTGATGCCCTTTTCACACATGTCTGCTTCAAGTGTCGAATTCGCGTTTTGCTTCTACACATGTCAGTGCCATCTGTAGAAGCTACGGTTTCTGGTGTGTAGAGTTGGCTCGCCGAAACCAAACTACACAGATCCATGGATGTGTAGAACTTGGCTATTGGTCCCCGCTAGTCTGAGGGCATGCAAACAACCGAAGGCCTGAGGCAGTGAAGTGTTCCTAACACGGTGTTCGGGGCTTGGTGTCGCCAGCATCCCTCCCACTCCCCCATCCTGTTCGGCTCCTGGAGCGGCCGCTCCCTTTTTTCATCACCCTCGAAGGCTTTGTGTGAGAAAACTACAGTACTTGAAGGAGCTCGTGGGCAAAGAGGGGAATCATCGGCATCCAGGAGTCCCACGTAACGGAGGCTGCCTTCCAGGGGTTCACCTACCATCGACATTTTCTTGTCTGGGCTCGCTCGTCTCTCCTGCCTCCGTCTTCTCACGCTGCTGGCGGTGTGATTACGTTCTCACGATGTTTAAGGAAGCGGCTGGGTGGGCCTCGCCGCTTTTTGAGGACTGCGTGCTAGTCCCAGGGCGGGCCCTGAATTTCCGGATTGAGTTTTCATATGGGACCCTGATCACCCAGTATTCAGAGGGACCGCATCATAGAGGTCATTCAGCGGGACCTCGATTTGGCCCTCAAGGACCCACATCAGATCCGCGTGATTGTAAGTGGCGATTTCGATGCGGCTAGTGCCCCCCGGATGCAGCGAACTCGTGTGCCCTTACTACTCGCGGGCAAAATCGGGACTGGCGTCGTTTTCGGGGTGTGTATGGGTAGGCTTTGCGGGATCGGGTTCGACAAACCAACCCACTTTCACGCTGCAGCACGGACTCTCAGCAACATGAATCGCTTGCTCGTGTCTGCTCCAGGGTGGTGCCTTTTGCAGTCCTGCACGGGAGCTCGGGTCCACGGCCTCCCGGAAGTTCGACATGACACTAGCAATTCCGACCACGCAGCGATCTCGTGCTCGCTTGCTCCTGGCGGGCCTGACAGGGATCGTCCCATCGCGTCGGACATGTTTTAAAGACCCGGGTTTGCCGCGAGCATCGGGAAGATAGTTGAGCAGGTGGACACGACAGGTCCCTCCCCTCTTTTGAAGCCAGCGTTGTATAAGGAAATCATGGTCGAAGCCACCAGGATCACCAGGGACTCTATCACCCAGGGGAAACCCAACGGCCCGCTTGCTCAACTCATTGTTTTACGGACTACCTTTAGGGCGGTGTGGCAGCAGTACATCCCGCTCGCTCTGCGCGTCATTCGCCCGCACCCGTTGTGCAAGAAGGTGTTGGCCGTCGGAGGAGGAGGAGGAGGAGGAGGAGGAGGAGGAGGAGGAGGGGGAGGAGGAGGAGGAGGAGAGGAGGAGGAGGCGGAGGGGAGGGGCGGAGGGGAGTGAGGAGGAGGAGGGGGAGGACAAGGAGAGGAGGAGGAGAGGAGGAGGGGAGGAGGAGGAGGAGGAGGAGGAGGAGGGGGATGGGGAGGAGTAGGAGGATGAGGAGGAGAGGAGGGGGGATGAGGGAGGAGGGAGGAGGAAGGAGGAGGAGGAGGGAAAGGAGGATAGGAGAAGGAGAAGGAGGAGGAGGAGGAGGAGGAGGAGGAGGTATAGGAGTAGGAGGAGGAGGGAGGAGGAGGAGGAGGAGGGTAGGAGGAGGGAGGGATGTCGGTAGGGAGGGAGGGAGGGAGGGATGGAGGGAGGGAGGGAGGGAGTGGGGGAGGGAGGGAGGGAGGGAGGAGGATGAGGAGGAGGAGGAGGAGGAGGAGGATGAGGAGGGAGTGAGGGGGGAGGGAGTGGAGTGGATGCGGGGAGGAGGAGAGGTGGAGGACGAGAGGAGGAGGGGGAGGAGGAGGGGGAGGAGGGGGAGGAAGAGGATGAGGAGGGGGAGGAGGCTGGGCTGAGGGGAGGAAGAGGAGGAGCGGGGTAGGAGGATGAGGAGGAGTAGGAGGAGGAGAGGAGGAGGAGGAAGGAGGGGAGGAGGAAAGCAGAGGATTCGGAACATGATTCTGAGGATAGTAAGAGAAGGTGGTGGAAGGGGGAGGTCGAGGGAGGGACGGTGAGGGGGAGGGAGGGAGGGAGGAGCAGGAGGCACAGGACACACCAGCGCTTGCACGACTGCTTTCGTACGTCAGTCTTACATCGACCACAGCATCAAGCACAGGCAACGGTATTTAGCAGTCGATCTAGTCGCTCACATCATACCTGGCATGGGAGCCCTCTAGGGCAGATGTCGGGGAGATACCATAAACGGCACACATGCTTCATACTGGTCTGTCGCACATCATTCACTCACACATCTTTTCTGATCACCTCAGTCACCCGCTTCCTTTGGGGTGGATCCTTAGGACATGTCAGAAAGGGCGCACGTGTTACTACTTGCTGCTTGAGTGTACAGTTATGGCAGCCAGTACTATTTAATTGAAAGAATCGACGTGGGTGCATTCATGCTTCGCGTTGCCAACATGCCTACCATCAAGCAAAACGACAAGATACGACCGCATCTCGCTGTACTCGGCCAGGCCGGCCTGCCCAATGACCGGTATGGGAGCCCACAGGGCATATTTCGGGGAGGGGCCAAAACACAAACCGAGTATGATTTACTCGACCTACAAGGTACGACATCTACCTTGCTTGTACGATGCTCGTTTCAGTCTGTACATTGGCCGAGGGAGGGAGGGGGAGGGGGGGAGGGAGGGGATGGAGGGGGGAGGGCGGGAGGGAGGAGGGGGGAGGGAGGGAGGGGGGCCAGGGGTGGGGGGGGGAGGGGGGGAGGTGGAAGGAAGGAGTGAGGGATGGAGGGAGGGAGGACCTCCCGAGGATCCTCAAGAGTCGGCGCGCAGGGCGCCGAGGGCGCCACCCACCGGGAGCGAGGGGGGGGGGGAGGGGCCCCGCCTCGCGGGGCACACGCCTCCGCTTTAACGCGCCCGCCTCCGCCCCCCCCCCGCGGAAGGGGGGGGCCCGCGGTTGCTCAGCGACACGGCAGCGCGCCGCGCGCGCGGCCCCCGCGCCCCCCCGCGGCCCCTTCGGAGACGCCCCCGCGCCGCGAGACGTGCGCGAGGGGGGGGCCTCTGGGCTGTTTTTTTCGGCCTCCGCTGGGCGGCCCTCGCCGGCCCCCCACAGAGCCGTCCACGGGAACAAACGGCTCGGGAGGCACCGCCCCGTCCCGGGGAAGGGGGTCGCGACCTCCTTCTGAGGGCCCGCGCCACGAAGCAGCCACGACGTCGAGGGTCTGCCCCCCCCCCCCTCCCCACGCCCGCGGGATGACGAGGGGGGGGGGGGACGGGGGGGAGGAGGGGCTGTGGAGAAGGCGGAGGAGGATTGGGGGACGGGACGAGGAGGACGTGACCGGGGGGGGTGGGACGAGAGGACGAGGGGGATGAGCGGGGGGGCGAGAGGACGAGGGGGATGAGCGGGACGACGAAGACATGACCGGGGGGGGGAACGAGAGGACGAGGGGGATGAGCAGGGGGAAGGGGAGGTATGATGTGGTACCGGTTTGCGCTCAGCGCGGGGTTAAGCCCCGATCGGGCGAGCTTGGGTTGAGACTCGGACTCTTCGGCGCTGTCGTTATCGCCTCGCTCGATGGCAAGGCTGCCGAGGTCGCGGACCTGCTCGAGCTCCCCCTTGTACAGCCCGAGCGCCCTCAGCACGTCCGCCCGCCCTCCCTCTGTCGGCCCTGCCCCATTCGCCGCCCACCTCGACGCTTTGGGCCAGGGGTGGCGGCTCTGGCGGCGGGCGCGGCTCCGCCTGGGCCTCCAGGCTGGAGCGGGCCTGCGGGCCGCTGGCTCGCCGCGTTTTTCCTCCGCCTCCTCCTCGCCCGCCTCCCCCTCGCCGGTCAGCACAGCCTGCCCGGACGCAGCGTGGCGGCGCGCAGGTCCGCAGAGCCTCAGAAGGCTCAGAAGGCCTCCTGCCTCTCGAGGCCCTGCAGCGGCAAGACTGCTTTGGCGAGACTCCAAAGGGGGCCGCCCAGGCCTCAAGCCGCGCAAGTCTGCTCGATAAGAGAGGGGCGCTCGCCTTCCTTCGGCCGCCCCAGCTGGTCCGAGCCGCCAGCCTCGGCCTGCTCGGAGCCCTGCGCCCCGGGAGGCGGCCGCCCCCGCAGCAGCAGCAGGCTGGCGGCGAGCGAGGCAGGGGGCAGAGCGGCCGAGGGCGTCCAGCATGGCGCAAGGCATGGCCTCGCCAGCAAGAGCTTGCACCCGCGAGCCCCTCCCCCCCCCCCCCTCCTCCTCCTCCTGCTCCTCCTCCTCCTCCTCCTCCTCTTTCTCCTCCTCCTCCTCCTTCTCCTTCTCCTCCTCCTCCTCCTCCTCCTCCTCCTCCTCCTCCTCCTCCTCCTCCTCCTCCTCCCCCCCTCCTCGCCCACCCCGCACCCCAACTTGCAGTCGGGGCGCTCACTAAGGAACCCTTCTCGTCAGGGACGGGCTCGGTGTTCCTTGGTTGTTTTTTGCAGTTTGCCTCGTTTTCCTCGGGGCTTCCATGAGAGATCGAAGTTTATCGCATGGAAACAACGGGCCTCGTTCCTTGTTTTGGGTTCCTTAGGTCAACGCCTCGACTGTATGCGACGGCCCGGTCTCCTCCCACCGATTCCCAGCCTTGGGCAGATCCTCGGGCTCAGGAGCCTCTGGGGGCTTGGGGTCGCGAGGAGGAGCCTCAGGGCCTCGGGGGCGCCAGTGGGCCTCCGTCCGCAAGATCCTCGTGGCCCTGGCGCTCAATTTCAGCATGCACTGTCGACGCCCAGCCGGCGGATCCAGCTGCCAAAAACTTGAAACCTTGCCACACCTGACACTGCTCGATGCCCACTCCGTGCTTGGCGGCGCCGAGCTTGGCGAGACGATCAGCGCGGGCGTTCCCTTTGAACTCCAACCCGTTAGTGGTTCCTGCTTCTACTTGGGCCCTCGTTCAGTGGTTTTTGGTTGAACGAACTTGGAAACCGCCGTCCGAGAAAGCGCCCCAGAACGGGCTCCAGAGCTGGGCCCGTGGGCAACTGCTTCGTGATCCAGCTCCGCCCCAGGGCGCAACTTCCCAGCGGCGCCTGCACGACCGAGGAACGAGCCAGCAGGAGCAAGCGCGCAGACCTCTCGACCTTGAGACCGCGAGATCTTCCGCGTCGCGCGCGCTCTGCTCTGGGCACACCCGCAAGTGCACGGGTCCGCGCGCTGCCGACGCCAGGGCTCCGCGCCTGCCTGTTCGGGCCCTCGCCCAGCCCGCACGGGCCGACCCCCCCGGGGGGGCGCCTGGCCCACGGGGCCGGGCCGTCCAGACAGCGCGTGCTCGTCGGAAGCCCCGATTCGGGGCGGCTGTGCCCGAAGGTCTACTGCTTGGGCGCCACAGGGGCGGGGAAGACCAGCTCGGGCGACGGGGGCACAGGCCTCGCGCAGCACCTGTCGCCCATGTTGAGTCCCCACTCCCTGACGCTCTTGGCTGTCCTCCCCGTGGGACTCGTTCGCCCATTCCCGACGAAGAGGCTCGCGCTTTGGGCAGCAGCAGGCCCTGTGCTGGACGCGCCCACCCTGGTCTCGGCACGCACACACAGCAATCCGGGGAGCTTGCAACCCATGACGATGAAGTGGAACCTGCGGCCAGTACCCCCCAGATGCCAAGGATCTCACGGTCATCTGCAACCTCTTCGTCCAAGAACTTTTCGCACGATGTAACAATGCAATAAAACTTCGAGGCCATTCCAGATTCCAGAAGATGGGCATGCACTACACTGCTTTTGGTCAACGACACGGCAGCGCCCGCCTACCTGAAGCTCGCCTAGCACCGAGGACAGCAGGCTCTTGAACAAGAGCTGGAGGCACACCTCGCAGGTCCAGCTCCACTTACCGATCCGTGACCATGCAACTACCTGAACGACAAGTCGGGTGTTGCTTGAAGTGCCCCTGGCCCAAGGTGCCCCTAGCTGTTCGCTCCGTTTTGGAGCCCCCGGGGCCCTCTGGGCCTCGTGAGGGGTGCTCTGAAGGCCATGGGGGCCTCCTTGGGAATCCTGGGGGCACCTTGGGCCAGGAGCACTTCTAGCAACACCCGTAAAAGACCAGCTGCGGAGACTGAGAACCGCGGCATCTGCTGGGGACGCTGCAATCCTCCAAGGCGCCTGCGCTGACTCCTGGTGCCCCAGGGCTCCTTCAAAACACTTCTCCAGAATCTGCAGCTTCGGACACGAATCCCAGACCGCAGACGCCCACTGGAACACAACCGCCCCCATGTTCAGCAACAACGGGTCCGTCCTGGCCCCTTCGGCATCATTGTGTAGAAGGAGCCCAACCGTGGATTTTTGTTGGACCTTCCCGAGGCTGCTGGCCGCAGCGAGTCTAAGCTTATGGAGCTGAGACGGGGGAGGAAGGAGGAGGAGGAGGAAGAGGAGGAGGAGGAGGAAGAGGAGGAGGAGGAGGAGGACGAGGACGTGGACGAGGACGAGGACGAGGGAGGACGGAGAGAGAGGGAGGGAGGGGGCGGGAGGCAGGGAGGGAGGACCTCCCGAGTAGGAGGAGGAGGAGGAGGACGACGACGAGGATGAGGATGCGGATGCGGATGAGGATGATGATGTTGCTGCTGATGATGATGCTTATGATGCTGATGATGCTGATGATGATGCTGATGATGATGATGATGATGATGCTGGTGAGGCTGAATATGAGGACGATGATGATGACGATGCTGATGATGATGACAATGAAGATGCTGATGATGACGATGCTGATGATGATGATGATGATGATGAGGATGATGATGATGATGATGATGATGATGATCATGATGATGCTGATGCTTATGCTGCTGACGATGGCACTGGTACCGATGCCGATGCTGATGATGCTGATGATGCTGATGCTGAGGCTGATGCTGATGCTGATGATGCTGATGCCGATGCTGGTATTTATGATGCTGATGAGACTGGTGATGATGCTGATGATGATGACGATGTTAATGATGATAATGA